AAGAGTGGATGAAATAGCCATGTTCACGGGTTAAAAAAAAAAAATTGAATTTTGTATACAAAGCAATCTGCCGTAATGGCAAACGAATGAGACGTTAGTCTTTCATGGCTTTGATACCATGAAGAGTAACCCAACTGAATAAGAAATCAAATGGACCTTTCTTCCATAATGAGAGTCCAATGCATATGGCTTTTATTTATACTAATCAATAGATTACAAGATAAGTATACCAAACATAATGTAATCTGCTAAATACATTCCTAAAATTATTATAATACTAACTAAAGTAGGAGAAAACAATCTGTGAAGATAAAGATAACTCCAAGAGTCATGGAATCAGTATAAGTCTTCTAATATATGAACCAACAATACATGAAAACTCCAACCATCTAAGAATGCCCCATGTTGTTGATGTCATTTTCTCAACATGATGATGATGATCATTGTAGTTATTCTTCTCCCTCATGGTAGGTGACTCCTCTAAAGTAAAGTACTCTTTCGAGGAGGTTCTTTTGCCACGATAACTGAAACATTCAACTTCTCAATATTCATGCCTCTTGTTGCCATTGTGGAATTGCCTTTTTTGCATCTAATTGAGAGTCAATGGGTAGCATCTTCCCCTACGTATTTATGTTGTGCTAAGTTTTCTTGGGATTCTCACGTACTTTTGGCTTCTTCTAGTCTCCGTAGCTTTGTTCATTGTAGTCGTTTTCGTCTTTGCTCATGCTTTAGAGGTTGCCGAAGAGATTGTCTAATCATTGTTGATCCAACATCCACGATTTCAATATTTTTAATAAACTTTATCTCAAATTTCAAAAAAATGTAACTATTATTTTTTTGCAGGTTTCTACCTAAAGTTCACATTATATCTACACCATTTTGTCAATGTGAGTTAATATAACTTTTGTGAGTATATCATCCAAAAGTTTTACATGAACCTCCTAAAATAAGAGAAAAAAGAGAGAGAAGAGTTGGGGAAAGACAAAAAGTTGGGGGAGTGGAGAGAGGGTGAAACAGAAGTGTTGGGGGGAGATAGAAAGTTGGGAGAGTAGAGTGAGAATTATTAGGTAAAGATAGATATGTGTGAGAGATAGAGAGGCAAAGAGGAGTTAGGAAAGTGGAGAGATAGAGTTAGTTGTTGGATTCATTCACGTTTCTCACCCAAAACATTTGGGCGGGTCAAAACAAAGTCCTACTAAGATTGTGTTTGATAAAACCGAAAGTTAAACGCTAAAAACTGAATACTGAATTTTAAGTGCTAAATACTAAAGTTTTTAATTCGTAGACTGTTTGGTATCAACTGAAATTCAAGTATTGAATTTTATCAAATTGTTTGACAAATATAAGGAGTTGAAATCTAAAAATTATTATTATTCTAATTTTGTCTTTCTCTTTAATCATATCTCTACAGTTATCTTATTCCTATCACCACCATCACAATGGTGGTGATCGTGCTAGTGACAATGGTGTTGATGGTGGCGGCAATACAATGGTGGCGGTGGTGGCACAATGGTGGCGGTGGTGGCACAATGGTAATGGTGGCGAAAGTGATAGTGGTGGTGGCCACAACACTATGGTNACACACACACACAAAATGAAAACTGCCATCTCCGTATCTGAGGAACCGCTGTGGTCGTCCCCGTCGTTTGTTTCCACCCCTGGGATGATTCTGATGAATATTCCCAGGAAAAGTGCTTTTGCAGCAGTGCTTGGGCCCAAATCTTAAATTAATAACACCGCAGGCTCTGACCTGCTCCTCAAGAAACGTACAGATGAAGCCGCGAAAGATGTCCAATGAAATCGAATAGTGTAATGCCTCCCCCTGCCTCGGAGCTTGTGGTGGCAGAATAGAAGACTGCAAAATTGCAAACAATTCTCCCATCTATTTCTCTTTTGATTTGCCTTAGCCTTTGCCCTTTTACCCTTGACAATGTCTTTTTGAACAAATTTTCGATTAATTAGTTTAGGTGGGGTTATACACTCAGACACACGTGAACGAAGATTTTCAAGTTAATGGTCATAGATTATGATTTTGATTATCGAGTGTGTTTATAGATGCCAAGAATTTCAAGTTAATGGTCATAGTGATTATGATTTATGTTATGAATTAAATTGATTTGATATATTGTTATTTTTCAATAGATAAAATTATATTTTATAAATATTTTTAAATTAAAGAGTGGAAGGATAAACCTAAAAATTAATTTATTTTTAGACGTCAACTCTGTGTAGTTATCAAACGGTTTGATTTAATTTAGTACTTAAATTTCAGTGGATATCAAATAGTCCACAAATTCAGACTTCATACTTCAACTTTCAATTTTAACAAATATAACCTAAGTGAGAGAGAGATGCTCGAGAGACACAAAGATGCATGCGTGGGAAGGNATTGTTTGACAAATATAAGGAGTTGAAATCTAAAAATTATTATTATTCTAATTTTGTCTTTCTCTTTAATCATATCTCTACAGTTATCTTATTCCTATCACCACCATCACAATGGTGGTGATCGTGCTAGTGACAATGGTGTTGATGGTGGCGGCAACACAATGGTGGCGGTGGTGGCACAATGGTGGCGGTGGTGGCACAATGGTAATGGTGGCGAAAGTGATAGTGGTGGTGGCCACAACACTATGGTGGTGGTGCTAATGACAATGGTAATGGTGGTGACTGTGGCACAATGGTGGTGATGGCGGTGGCAACAGTAATGATGATAGTAGCGATGACACAATGATGGTGGTGGTGGTGATGGCATAATGGTAGTGATGGTGGTAGCAACACAATGGTGGTGACGGTGGTAATGGTGATGGTGGTGGAGGTGGTGGCAACATTGGTGGGGGTAGTAATGGTAGTGGTGGTGACAATGGTGGTGGTGATAGTGGCGATGACACAATGGTAATGGTGATGGCAACGACGGTGATGGTGATGATAGTGGTGACGGTGATACAATGGTGGTGGTGGTAGTAGTGGTAGTAACAGTAGCAATGATGATAGTGGTGGCAGTGATACAATAGTGGTGGTGGTGGCAGCAATGATACAATGGTGATAAGGGTATATTTGTCCATTACGATAAATTGATAAAATCCTTACTGATTAATATTTTCAACATTAAGTAATAAGTTGATGATTGTTACTTAAAATTTTAGCCTATTTTTAAAAAATACTTAAAATATTAAATAGTATGAATGTTAGGTTATCAAATATGTTTAATTTATTAATTGTTTAAAATTTTCAGTTTTAAATCCTAAGTGGTGTTATCAAACTAAGGGTGTGTTTGACCTAACTTAAGTCTTAAAATCGAATACTTTCAGTGCTTAATGAATTAAGTTCGTTTGATAACTCAATATTATAACTCCTTAATAAAATAAGTGTCACTTAAATGCAAAACAAAATTTTAAGTAACTCCTTACCTACTTAATATTGAAAGCTAAAAACCCTCAGCATTTTACCTCCTTCATCCCCTCTGCCTCTTCTCCACAATCTCACAGTTCTTCGTTGCCTCTGCCATGGCCTTCCAAACTAGAGGCATGTTCTTTTCATCTTTTTGCTATCTTCTTCCTCCATTCTTCTTTTTTTCTTCTTGATGCGACAACACACAAGCAAATTAACACATGCAACAACACACGCAATCATAATTAAATACACCCAGAATTAAATACACACACACACACAAAATGAAAACTGCCATCTCCGTATCTGAGGAACCGCTGTGGTCGTCCCCGTCGTTTGTTTCCACCCCTGGGATGATTCTGATGAATATTCCCAGGAAAAGTGCTTTTGCAGCAGTGCTTGGGCCCAAATCTTAAATTAATAACACCGCAGGCTCTGACCTGCTCCTCAAGAAACGTACAGATGAAGCCGCGAAAGATGTCCAATGAAATCGAATAGTGTAATGCCTCCCCCTGCCTCGGAGCTTGTGGTGGCAGAATAGAAGACTGCAAAATTGCAAACAATTCTCCCATCTATTTCTCTTTTGATTTGCCTTAGCCTTTGCCCTTTTACCCTTGACAATGTCTTTTTGAACAAATTTTCGATTAATTAGTTTAGGTGGGGTTATACACTCAGACACACGTGAACGAAGATTTTCAAGTTAATGGTCATAGATTATGATTTTGATTATCGAGTGTGTTTATAGATGCCAAGAATTTCAAGTTAATGGTCATAGTGATTATGATTTATGTTATGAATTAAATTGATTTGATATATTGTTATTTTTCAATAGATAAAATTATATTTTATAAATATTTTTAAATTAAAGAGTGGAAGGATAAACCTAAAAATTAATTTATTTTTAGACGTCAACTCTGTGTAGTTATCAAACGGTTTGATTTAATTTAGTACTTAAATTTCAGTGGATATCAAATAGTCCACAAATTCAGACTTCATACTTCAACTTTCAATTTTAACAAATATAACCTAAGTGAGAGAGAGATGCTCGAGAGACACAAAGATGCATGCGTGGGAAGGAGAGAAAAACAGAGTCCTCATGCCTTTTGGAAAGTGTATGGGTGGAAAAATTTTTTGAAAATTAATTAAGATCGTCGAATTAATAATCTTAAAGCAATCTCAGTCGTAAAAATCTGAAAATTGTATGGGTGGGAACATTTTTTTGAGATTAATTAGGATTGTCGAATCAATAATCTTAAAACAATATTAACCGTGAAAATCTAAAGACAAACTAAAAATTTGAACGTGTAATACATGACCGAAATGAAACAGACTCATATAATCAACCCCAAAATGATTGAAATATAACGTTTAGTTTGGTTGCTGCATCTTGAATTTCTTCAAATAATAGCATTGCATTTTAATATCTAAAAAATTTAGGATAACATGTGAAACTTTTAAAGGCTTAAAACAAAAAATTCTAACTTTTTTGGGTGGTGAAAACTGCCATTTTCCGAAAAAAAAAAAAAAATAGGTCACGTGATTGTCGTCACGTGCATGTGACAACATCATCGTAGTTCGCTATAAGAAAATTCCTTTCCTTTCGCGGAGATTCCCTCTGCAAGAGCAAATCCATGGTTTGGATTCGATCCAATACATCAAATTTGTCGAACTCCACAGTCATTGACGAGAGACCCGGATGGGAAGTAGAAGCAGAAGTGATGTAAATTACAGAAACCCATGTCTGACAATGCATCAGCCATGGGCTTCTTTGCTGGTTCATGGTATTAAGCGCATTGAAGGTAGATCTTGGCCTGCTACTCTCAGAGGTAACCCATGATTTCAGTATAATCCAAAACTTGACTGTAATTTTCTTGGTGATTATGGAGTTTATGGGTTTTTATAATTCTTTGTGTGTCCTCTAGGGAGGAACTTATATTTTGGTCGTTAGGCTTTTATGTGATTCTTTGTATTGCTTGATTGAACGATTAGCTTTCTCATTTGGGCTGAATACATTTCTTTTACTCATGTGCTGCTTGAAATTTAGCTGAGGATTGATGGTGTGAAATGAGATTTGTGGTAATTTGAGACATTGCGAGGGGTTCAAGGTGATTAAACTGTCTAGAACAGGGTTTAATTAGAACATATCTCTTCTTTTTCAGAGTAAACAACAAAGCAAGTTTCCCCCTGTTCCATTGGGTCCTTGATTTTCTTGAGAGATACTAAACTTTAAAATACTCACTTGAGGTTGGAACATATTTATTAGGAAGGTCAAAGTTATGCTACCTATGGTTAACTATGTGGTGGGCTGAGGATAAGTAAAGCTTATTTATTTACAAGTTTTAAGACGTTGCAGAGAGCTTATTGATTAACTTTGTGATGGAATTCATCGATGGCCTCCAGGCAAAATTATGGGTATTCACCGACCAAAAATTTTGGGTGTTTGGGTGAAGGTTCTTGCTGAAAGGAATTAGTTGAGGCTATTATGATAGGCTTTTAATTGGAAATAAAATAAAATAATATGCTGATAGTTAATATATTTGGGTATCCAATGGGCAAATGTAAGAGAAGTTATAGACATTATGCTTATGGCTCTTAATCCCAAGAGAGCTTTAAGCTTCTGAAAATTCTCTGCATTTATATTTGTCAAATTGCCTGCCAGCACACACATACACACTAGTGGCAGCTCCTACTCTAATGATGACTTTGATGGAACCTAGCATGTAGAAACTTCAGACATATGATATGACTCCAAATCCATCTACAAACAACATAATAAAACCATGTATCACCACTATAGCTCATGTTGGAAGATACGTAGCTTTTCTAAACATCTTAGTTTCTAAAACATGAGAACATATGCATAACAAAATTCGGTTCACCTGAATTAAAATAACACAACAAGAGAATCAACGGGACTTGAACTTCGTTATTCATGGTCTAGATTGTTTTTGCCCCTGAATAGGCTTTTCATATTCCTCTCTTTTGAAATTGAGTTTTGAAAAATTGATTGTCAATTTGCCACATGTTCACATCCAATATACTTTCTTTGGTGGATGGATCCTTGAATGAAATGTGATCTATTTTGTCCTGTGGTCAAGGTGTTAGGCTATTGTATTGAAATTGTTGGAGAATCATCACCTGTTATATGTCAAGAGAAGATGTTTGGCCTGTGGAAGAGCTTAGGAGGTTAACTATCTTATGTATATGTGATGCAACTCTCTCTCTCACTCTCTCTCATGCTTATGTATGTGCTACATGGTCCAAAGTATAGGCCGAACTAATACGAGTCGGCCGAGTCGTATCTGCCTCGGCACCTTCGGAGACAATATCGTTACACGATACGTATAAATCTCGAGTCTTGCACAACTCAGCCAAGTCGTCCAAGTTAATCACAAGTTGCTAAAATGTCGTCACTGAATTGACCGATACCGTTCCACAACGCCGTAATATGACTTGAATTTCTCGTCATATTCAACATTTTCTTTTAGGTCATTTAGTCTTTGAAGATTCCTTTTTATCATTATCTTCTTCTATTCTTTGTGAAGGTCGACTTTGGATTCATGCTGCTAGTAAAGTCCCAGAACCAGAAACAATTAAAGCAATGGAGGACTTCTACAGAGAAATTTATGCCGTGGATGGGATAACAGATCTCAAGTTTCCGGAACATTACCCGATTTCAAGACTTATAGGTTTAACTAAATTTTTCCTTGTATAAAATATTTCAATACGTTAAATCTTTCTTTTCCTATACTTTTTAGTAACAAGTCTAGAAAAAATAGATTTTCTGAAGTCTCTTTCTGAACAATTTATTTCATTATTTCTTGTTTTGTCCATTCTAATTTCACATTGTTAACTCAGTGTTTAAAGTTTTGTGTTTTTTTTTATTTGCTGTCATTTTTATTATATTTGAGGCTGCTGGTTACATTTTTTTTATGGTTTGTTACTTTCTGGTCCTCCTGGTGTCATGTTTGTTGTTGTTTACACATGATGTATCTGGTTTCTCTACTGAGTTGAGAGAGACTATAGAGTATTTTATGATATAATTAGCACAGTAAGGACAGTTTTTCTTTGGTCTACAAACATCTGTAAAAGGAATCAAACTCTAAATATTCTGTTTTGTGTCGATTCATAAAAAATATATTGGAGTATCACTCTATCAAAGCTGGAACTTTATCTGGAACAGGTTGTGTTGAAGTGGTGGGATGTGTTACACGTGAAGAGCTGGTGTGCTGGGAGGAGGTTTCTGATGGGGTGAATACCTAGCATATTACTTCTGTATTTCCACAAGTAATAGTACGTCTAGTTCGTTATTTGCTATGTTTCTTTGCTATATTTGTGTAATTCAAACTTATTTTGCAGGTGAGGCTTGAAGGGCAAACAGATTTTTGTTGGCTCTGTGAGCAACCACAGGTTTGCATTATCATACGGCTTTTAACTTGTAGACTCTGAAGCATTGGCATGGATATTGGATATGAGTCATACAACACACTATGAGTCTATGACAGGGACGTGTCAATACGACAAATTCTGTAAAAACAGGACACAGACACAACTAGGACATGCTACAAATGATTTTATTTTATATGTCAAATTTATAAATTATCAATTATAAGTAGCACAAATAAGAACATAGGTACTTTAGGATAGGTAAATTTCAGAACATACTTTAGGATAGATGTCTATTACTCTAACCTATTTTTTAGATATTGTATCATAACACATTTCTTATAGGCAAAGTGTAGCAACATGGCTACATATAGTAATTCCTCGCATCTTCCCTAACCCTCCTCTTAACAAAACTTTTAAGTGTCATCTGTTTTCTAGTGAGTTTTAGGAAATACTTTACTATGAATAATCTTAAGAATTATTTATTTTCTTTGATATAAAGTAGTCATATGTCAAATCCCTAGATTCTATTAATCTTATGGTAAGTAGTCTCCAAGAAGTATCAATCTCATGCTTATTTTTTTGTGTTATATATACTCATTTAAGGAATTTAAGATACGTCACCAAAGCAGATGTTTGACATAAATGGTATTTTATGTTTTAATTATAGATATGGGAAAAGATTGTCGGGCACATTACCAGGAGCGTCTGAGAAGTGCCAGTGTCCATAACAGACACATCATCTGCTTAGACGTGAATGTGCTTCTTAGCCATTACATGCCTTTACATAGAGGAGTTAACAGTCTGATATTTTAGATTTACATCTGTTTTGTGGAAAACACTGAATTATTTTCTGCAATGAATACAGAAGCTGATAATTCCATTTGAGATGCGGGGGTTCCAAGGTGTTTATAACTTGGAGAAAAAGGTAAAGGGGGTGTCTATAACATACACAAATCTTGAATATTCTTTCCCCGTCTTTGTGTTCAACATGACGTTGTTAGTAGGACAGTGTTGCAACTTTAATCCCCCTTTTTTTGAATGAATGTGCCAAGATATACGATGCAGCAGCTAGAGGTCTTTGTCCTGTCAAAGCTCCACTACCAGTGAAGTTTCCTTGTCCAGATCCAAAGGATCCTTTTTCTCTGAAGCCACGATCACTCACTTCCTCCATTAACAATTCAAATCAAGCTGACAGGGACAGACCACCAGCTCTCATGGCAGCCATAGCCGGTGCACGAGCTGCTGCTACACAGTTCTCAAAGAATGGCAATGTCCAACCGATTACAATTCAAGGAGATATGCCTGTTTCCACAAGAACAAGGAATAAAACAAAAGAAGAAGATCAAAGAGTAGACGATATGGTTTCTGGGAGCTCGGGTGCAAAAGATTTGGCACGTAACAGCAAAGGGCAGGGTGGCAACAAGAACTGATAATAAATTTTGCAAATGTCCTGCTCCTATTAGGATTTGGGTCGTTAATCGGGAGCTCCATAGGTCTTCCAGTGGGATCAGCTTGGGTGTTGCTTAGTCTTATAGTTGGGTTGTCTCAGTATTGCTGACTATTGTACATGAATGATGTTTTCTCTAATCCAGTACTGTAGAGGAAGTATGGGGCAGATTGTTAAATGTGTAAACTAATGTATCAATAATTCCATTAATCAGTCTGAATTCTGCTTGAAGCTTGTTTCATGGAAGGTGCTGTGTTTTGAGATTTTTGATTTAATTGGGGAGTGGACTCATCATTTTATGTGTTTTAAGATCATATAAACTAATCTTGATATCCGCTAAAATAAAGCCCAAGGGATTAAATTTGCTTTCAGCGTCTCTGTGAATTTACTAGCTCATTTATTAGTCTAGCCAGAAGACATGGGTACAAAATGTCCAATGGAGATTTTGTACTCCAGATCAGGTCACTCTTCCCCAGAAAGGGAGAATTTGGATTGTGGTTTGTTTTTCCACATACACATTATAATAGTACTAGATTTTGTATAAAGTCGTCTCTCCACACAAAACATAAATTTGTCGATAACAGTCCCAAGAATATACACACCGCGAAATATTTTAACTTTTTAATTTATGCTTTGATTAGATGCTCATCATGGGCAGAGTTAAAACTTTTTGCGGTTTCTTAAAACTATTTGTGTTGTTTATTAAAAGGAATTGTGGTGCGGTCCCTCTTGTTTAAAACCTAGTAATAGCACCAAATAATTCCACCTAGGCACAAAAAGACAAAAATCTCAGCGCGGGCCCAAAAAGAATTACAAAAATAATTAAGGGTTTTTGGGTGTGTGTACAATTTTTTAGATTTATTTAAATAAAAATATACAGATAAGTTATTTACTATATTAAGTATAATTTTTATTAAATTTTTTGTGTTTAGGTGCAAAATTCAAATGAATTAAAATTTTTTTTACCTAAATACCCTCCCTTAAATTATGCAATCATCATTCACAATTATTTGAGAAAACAAATATATAAAAATTAGCAATAGTAATAGGAGGTAAAATAGAGACATTAATGATCAAAACCCTTCTTCTTTTGCAACAGGATTCTATGACAATGAGAATTGATTAGAATGCCACAAATTATATGTAGATAAACATTGAATTTTTCCAAAAAAAAAAGAGAATTGACCAATATGTTTTGTTAGATATTATGTATTGTTCGTTGTTGGGATGTAGGGAAAAAATAGATTATTTGTGTTTTTTTAATAGATGTAACTGTTTTTTAATGGGTGCAATTATTTCTTTAATGGATGTAACTATTTTTTTAATGTGTGTAATTATTTTTTAAATGAGTGTAACAATCACAGTCTCATGAAATTATTAAGATACGATGGTGTAACGATGCTGCGATACTAAATGGTGTAACAATTTTGTTTATGCAAACAACTGAATAACAAATTGAGTTGATGTCATAATTTTGTATAATTATTTTGTGAAACTGTTTGGTTTATTAGAACACATGAATAACTTGTTAGAATTATAAAGAAGTTTTTAAAACTTTCAATTAAAAGTTTTTTGGTTACAAGGTTGAAGATTTATTTGGCTATTCGTTTCATGTATTAAAAATATGCTTTTAATGGATTGAATGTTACATATCACAATGGTTATATAAGCATGTTATTGGAGGCCACTCTCTAATGTTCTAGCATTCATCTTGTAGTCCATTTTTTGTTAAACTTTGTCTACAATTATATTACTATAAGTATTTTTATACTTTGAACAACTTCGATTCGAGTCAGGATCACCCATTTCTTCCAGTGGCCGTGACCATTAAAGAGGTGCTACTGCGAATGTCTGAGTTTGATCTTGGAATCGCTGGTGTCCGTCAGTACCCTCACGCGGGGAGACTCAGTTGCTTTAGGACAGTATTTACACGACTTTCGGACTCGCAGGCTAGCTCTTTTTAATTTATAGTATATATTTTATTCTATTTTAAATTCATTGTTATTTTGTGTTTGTTTATGTGATATTAATATTAATTTAATAATTAAAATTATGTATAATTATGTTATTTTTTCCAACAATCTAAAGCAGCTGATAACCAATTCTGACCTTTGGTTGGAAGAAGCTTCTGTGAACAAGAATGCTCCTTCCAGTCCAAACCAAACAGCAATTTCTTATATCAACTGCATAAACACCATTAAAAACTTAATTCCTGCAATCAATTCAATACAACTCTCTATACCAATTACAACACCACAACTTAAAAAGTTGATCTGACTCACGACAACACTAATAAATATGATGAGCCCATTCCTTCAAGCTCTTGAAGGTCCAGGTAGAAAGCACTTTCAGGTAACTTCAGCTCATCCAAACAGCTATGAACCACATAAAAATGATTGGATCAAGATTTCAAGAGCATGATCTATCAAAATCTTATACAAACACATTTTGCATGTGAAGCCCAACTCAGAACCTCGATATGGTAAATTTGTATGCTGTTCAGAGAAAGTGAATTTTTATTTTTATTTTCTAAAAGAAAACTGTACAATTTATAATAAAAACGTAATTGCATTGCATAGTTAATGATTTTATCTCGGAATCAACCAATATCTGGATCACAAGCCAAGTCAATGTTAAAATTATCGCTCTTTCAAAGAAGAATGACTTTCATAGTATCACACACACCAAATTACAGACATGATCGAGAAAAAAAAAACGACGTCATGTTCCAAGCCACCAGCCAAGCAATAATATATATACTCTCTCTTTTTGACAAGAGATCGTTCGTATAGCATAACAATATGAAGAAAACAGTGAACGCCATTATATTTGAGAACAAATCTATATCGAAGAGATGATTAGATTACAAACCCAGAGCACGGGAGCTCTGGTTTGTAACAGATACGATGAATCTGACTTATGAGGATTTCGATTTCAGGTTATACCTGGAAAACCTATTGCTCGAAGAAACAGCCAACTTGAGAACATGGTTGTGCTTGCTTTATGCTTGACTATAAACGTGATCTTACAAGTTGCAACTCTTGTTATGTTGGAATTATATAGTTTTGGCCTTTTATTCATTTCTTTAGATTGCCAGTTGGAAGGACATTCACAAGTTTTCTAGCTGACTTTGTTCTCCTCCAAAACCAAGCTCACAAGAATAGCATAATTACTGCTAATCACCCTCTTTTACTTCCTTTTTTTCTCTTTTTCAGTAATTTGTTTGCCCTTTATCATTCCTTTGTTGCGCAGATAGTACCCAAATGACATAATATTTGTGTAACAGTTGGGCATTTATCTTACACATGTATATCATAGTACATAAATTTAGTAGTGAATAAGCTTTTACCCATAGTGCTTTTATTGCTCATGCATCAATCTTCCAAGCTATATATGTTACCTTTCTTTATTTTTGGTTATGTGGAGTATAACAAATTATTGTTATAACAGACAAATCTAAATTAACACAAGCCTTGTTTTAGCTGTGTCTAAAACTTTCAGAATATATAAATATTTTATATGGATCGTTTTGGCTATGGCTTCTTCAATGCTATTTGGAAAAAGGAAAAAAAAATGGGAAGGAATACACTTGTTTCCGTATAGTCTTTAATTACCAAATCATTTTTGACATTAATGTTTTGGACCATAACACCATTCTATAATAAAATCTAATTAACTAGTGGATTGTTATAGGTTTGTGATATTACTACTGTAATTATGGTGAAAGTATTGTTCAAATTTTTTGACTTGTCGAAATATAGATTACTTGAATCTTTTAACTGAAACAGTTGTCAATGAGAGTAATTCATGTAGTAATTTAACAGTGAAGTCCACATTGTGCATAATTCCTTAAAAATATTACAGAGCAGCCATCGGTATTTGAAGCTATATTTTTCTCGTTAAATTTAGGTAGCCTGTACGTCTAATATTATTTCAAAGTTAGTGGAGGCCTAATAGTTATTTGCTGATTGAAATTTCAAATATTAAATCTCATATCAATAGGTGGTTATCCTTAGTTTTATTGTGAATGTAGAACACCTTTGCTTTTACTACAGATATTATGCTTGAAATTATTGGGTACAAACTTCATTGCATGAGTGATAACTAAATCACATTAGTTAGAGGAATCTTAGGCAATTTGTGATCACTTTAAAAAAAAAAAAACAAAAAAAAAAAACACAGTCAACACTAACTAGCATTTAGATTCCAACTTTTTGACTAGGTTGGCACCTAAATCATCTATATGTTCAGCTATATATTTAGCATTTTATTTTTAAGTATATCAAGTATGTGATTAGTCATTGATGGTATATATTTGTCATTGATTGTACAATGGCATCTTGAGTTAACGTTATTAAGCCGTTCCTGTGATAGGTATGGATTTTAACACTTGCAACACAATGTTTTTTGGTGTGAATGATTAAAATGAAATGGGTGTGCCAATTTTGGTATGGTCGTGATAGCATTGAGTAAACTAATAGTCCAACAAATGAACAAGAGACGGTCATTAACAATATTAAGCATGAGTTCTAGATTTATCAAATTGAGACATATTTGTGTTCTGTGTATATGCAAGCCTCGAATTCACCTTTTCCCTTGAATTCAATTTGTTGAATATGTGATATGAGCTGACCGTTGGGCTAAATACTCTTGTAATATGGAGGTTGATGCAAATGCTACTTTTATGAAGTATGAGTCACTTTAGCATGATAATTCTTGGAAATGTAGGGGTAAATTTTAAGGTAATAAAATATATATGAAGTATCTGCTGAATTTGCTTAATGTTGTTATAAGAGTTTCATATATATGTGGGGGAGTTTCATAGCTAAGGGTTTTCCAAACAAATGCATTTTAATGTGTTGTTCGTGAGTGCTATTTGAAAGACATGTCAAATCAATATCAATGAGAATATATGAAGGTGTGCACACCCGGTGAGACTTGAACATGGAAGAGTAATCATTCTAATATTTATGAAAGCTCAGCTAAACAGAGCTGACAAATGAATTAAAAAGCTTTTGAGGAAAGCTGTGAGACACAAATATATAAAGACAGATTAATTTGATCAGTGAGTTTTCGAGAAAAGCCTTGTTTTTGAGAAAAGATGTCTCAAGAACTGTCAAGGGGAATGTGCTTAAGCCCGTAAAAGAGTCACCTAGGGAGGTAACCCAACTTCTATGATTGGGAACCCCATGAAGGAAGTTCAATGGATAAAAATAATTCATACTGCGTGACTTATTAGTACCGTTTTTGAAAAATATCCTAAAAGGAGATATTTTCATGC